GTTTTCAAATATGAATTGAGTAAGAGTATAAGGGAACTAAGTTTTCCTAAAGGTATCAGTTTTTACATTAAGAAAAGAAAAAATTTGGCTTCTAAATGAGTTAATGAGTTCAGAGATATTTCAGAGCAGTTACCTCTTTTAAGAGGATAGTTTGAGTAACTATCTCAAACCAGAGGAAGAGTATATTTTTAAACATTGAGCATGAGTATATATTATTAGGAGTAGTATTGAACACCGATATGGGGATGAGTTCAAACAACTCACATTCCTAATAAACCATGTATGCCAACATGGGTATAAGATCATACTTTTAAGATGAATCCTAAGTGCCTTCGGGCAGAGCTTAGTGGATCCACTTAGTTGAGGTGTTCTATATCCCGACAAGGTATAGAACAGTTCTGGTAGTATGGGCGAGAAATTGTATCATCACGTAGCTCATAGTGGTGGTTATCGGTTAGAGAATCTCCCAAATAAAGTTAAAAGTGTATTTAATTATATCATTTGTAATGTTGAGGTTCAGAGATGAGTAAGTGTTTTTTGTAAAGTTTTAAATGATTTCATTCTTTTAATTTTTTACATCCAGTTGAGTATATATCTATATCTATTGCAATTCTTTCATTCAGTTATTTGTTATTCAGCTATATTACATACTCATACATTTAATGTACTGATGTCATTCGACGTGCATCTTTTAATGATGCAGATACAAGTTATTAGGATCCTCAACAAGAGTCCGTTGAGATCACAAGTGGGTCAATACTGTATTCAGTTTTCTCAGTAATTCATTGTAACAACCCGGAAAACTAGTAAGACCAAGCTAGATCCTAACAGAAACTAGTAGGTGAAACTAGAGCCTTACGTGTGAGCTTTTGAGTTTGATGTTTGGTTTGAGGTTGTAAAATGATGTCCCGAGCTTAGGTTGAGTGGTTTAGGGTTTAAACGTCAAGATACGACCCCCCAATGACCAACCAATAGTGCCTAAAACCAAAAAACTGTCAAAATGGGGCCACCTACGGCCAGTAGGTTGACCCACGCCCCGTAGGTGGGGGTTTCGTGGGTCAGGCCCCAAAATGAAGAGTTGCATACCCTACCCACGGACCTGCAGGACGGGGCGCGAGTGCACCCACGGTCCGTGAGTCAAGGGGCGTGGATTGCACCTGTAATCTGCCCCAAACTCGGCCTAAGGTGAGGTTAGTTTGGGAAATTCCTAATTTGATTATATTAATGTAAAATCATTTTAATTCATTTTATTAGACTTATATAAGGTGTTTTAAACCTCTAAATAACCTATTAACTTCATAATCCCCAAGACCCCAAACCATAACTAACTCTACCCCCAAAGTTTTCTCCAAAACTCTTCTCTCTAGAACTTCATTGAAGACCAAGAAAGAGATCAACTAGGGCTTGAAGATGGGGGCTTTATCATACGAATTTGGTTGGATTCTAAACCTAAAGTATGGTGGTTTTCATCCTTGGGTAGCTATCACCCAAGGAGCCCCTTCAAAAGTTTTTATCTCAAATCTAGAAAACCCAAATAGCTAGGGTTTCAACTCAACCCCATGGATTCCTTTCAAAGGTTTTTTTAAATGATGAATTATGTTTGTTTATGAATGTATTACTGATTTTATATGATTTTAATTCGAATTCCTAAAGAATCCATGAGTTTTCCCAATCCTAGTTATGGTTCTTCTTTACACTATGAATGTTGTTGGAAGTTGATCCAATTGATTAGATGTGAGTTGATTATGATGTAATTACATGATTTAAGTATGATTATACATGTATACTTTATTAACCTAAGATTTCTAAGGTGAATTGATGTGATTAGGGCTATGTCATGAAAGAGGCTAATTGAGGGTTTATATGTGACCATCTAAAATTGATGAACTTCTTGATGAAATGCCTTAGATTAGATCACCTAGACGTGAATTGCTTTTAACTAAAGCTTGTAGATATGAACTAACTTGATTAGGTCTTACATGATGAATCATGGTTGAGTAGTATTGAAATTTAGTTTACTTGATGCTATATGACTATAATTGAGTAAGAATGAAGTATGTGGTTAGTCTACCTTGAGAATTAGGTTTACATGATGACCATGTGAGGTGTTGCTTGAGAGTAATGCTCATAATATGAAGATGACTCCTAAGGCTTTAAAGGTAAAATCTAAAAGGAATGAACTATGAATATTGAGGCTCTTAGACGAAAGCTATTATGCATGTTGAATTGTATATGGTGCTATTGTGGAAGGACTCTACCCACGTGACCTACAATATGAGTATATGAGCTTATTCATGTAATGAATGAACTATTTGAATTAGGAGTATATACATGTCTACTATAATGAATGTTAGATGTGTTGATTTATATGGTCTATGATCCTTGAATGCAGTATATGTGAATTATGCATGATTGTGATAATATGTACATGCTTATGAACACTTTGAGAGGGAAGTGTCTATGATGATAATATTGTTGTTGTGTCATTGCAAGGAAAATTACACACACACTCCATGCATAAACATGATTATAATGTAACTATGGTGTCAATTGAAAGTCTAGTTCTCATATGCGTCCTTTACACTATTATTATGCATGACATGTACATGACCATGATGATCCTATTGTGTTGATTGAAAGACCATTCTCATGAGAACACATGATCTTGGTGTGAAAGTTATTCTCACATACTAATGATGATTCTAAGGTTGAAAGTTAGTTCTCACCTACATGAATCTATGAGCTATTTTATGAGTTGGGTTGAACGAAGGGTAAAATACTCCTTCAAACATGTAAATCCGATTCAAAACTAAACAAGTAATTTTGGAAAATAATGCTTAGCACCGAGTGGATATGAAAAATGAGGTAGAGGCCTTCCCGTCAATACAATAGGCCGGGTCTTCTACAAATGAGCTCATGAGATGGAAACTCTCCCGTCAATACAATAGGCTTGGTTTCTAGAAGCAATCTTCCTATCTCATAACTATGTGCCCACATAGGTCTTTAGCTAGTGGATCCACCTAAAAGCTAAACATGTTAGTTCTATCTTAGGCAAGTAGGACACCTTTTTTCGGTGTGGGGTTACACGACACCGGATTCCATGTAGCTCACATGGTCTATGTCGATTAAGGCTATATTCTCTCTAATGAACAAGAAAGTGAGTTATGTGGTATGGTTCCTCAAAAGGGATACTTAGTATGAGTGGTATTATGGGATGCCATTCATACATGGCACAAGTAGACCTTGAGAGTAACCATGGTGTGTATCTTATGTAAATGAACTATGAACATGAAATATGAGCTATGACTAATGACTAATCAAGAAGATCTACTTAGTGTGAGTGAGGGTATAGGATTTCACTCATACATGGCACAAGTAGACTTTGAGAGTAGCCATGGTGTGGTTCCATTACATTGTGATGATTTATGAATTAATGCATGCTCCATTTGGATTGTTGTTATGATTGACTTTCCTTGACATGAACTAATGAATATGAATGTTTCCTTGTCTATGAGTATTAACTAAGGATGAGACTAGTGAATAACAAGTATGAGCATGGTGACCTAAAAGGGGTACTTAGTGTAGATAGGGTTATGGGATCCTATCTATGCATGGCACAAGTATAACTTAGGGTTACTTAGGTAATGATTCCATTATGATGAGATGCACTTGGTATTTGACTATGTATGTGCATTATGTCTTATGATGATTGAGATTTGCACTATGCCTATGATTGGAGACTATGCTTATGTTTATGTTGTTACCCTTTATGCTATGATGAACTATATGTGAGTTGTTTTATGAGTACATTCTCCAACTATTTCAAATATGATATTCAAATTAGCATATTGCATGGTTTCAACTAAAATGCCTTTTATCATGTTTTAAAAGGTTTTTATGCATGGCTACCATACTTAGTATATTCTTGTGCTAACCCATATTTCTACATTTTCTATAAGTGTAGGGTTTGGCTCTTGAAGGTGGTCTTCTATTGATTCAAGCTTGGGATAGGTAATCACCCTTGCTAGTTGGTGAGTCCTCAGATTCGAGGACGAGTATCTTTACTTAGTAGTTTCTTTAGTATGTCATTTGAGAACTATTGTGAGGGTTGTGTCCCTATTTCTTATTCGATTGTATTTAGATGGCTAAATGAGACAATGTCTAGATTCCCATTCTCTTTTATGAAAGACTTTGATTGTAAAGGAAAAAATTTATTCCGCATTATTCTATGAGTTTTATGCTTAATGATATGCTAAGGGCTTGTATGCGACCCCTTCGGGGTCAAGTACGCCGTGTTACGTCTAGGGGTACCCCTGGGTCATGACATTCATAATAATAGTTAAAGCACAAAATTCAAGGAATTCTTGGATAATTTATGAAAAATGAAAATATAGGTGATGAATAAGTTGGTGTTACTGAGACCACCAATCACAATATCAGCTTATACTATAGTTTTGCGGACAAGTTCTTAAGTGGTAGTTTCAATTTCATTTGAAGGACATGTTGTGTTTTATTTAAAGAACAATAATCAGTAGGACTTGTTACGAAAAATTCCTTGGATGCCAAATGATCTCCTCCTCTCTTTCTCTCTCATTTCTCAAATTACCTTATGGCAGTTCTATATTCATGAGAAGTCGTTGCATCTTCAGCATCAGAAATACCCCAATGAACATTATAAGTACTTTTGAACTATCATCTGCAGATTCAATATGCATTAGTTCACACTTCTAGACTGGTTCACCATAATTCAGTGTTCGTGATATGTAGCCACACCTGTGTGATAAATGAATTGCCTGTGGATGTATACCATCTGATTAATGTCTGTGGATTCCATTTATATTGATATGTGGAGGTTTGAATCTGGTACTTCGTCTAGTATTTTTTGTTTACCAATTTTCTAGTGTTAGGTTACCAATTTAGTTCATTGTGCAACTCTGGGGTGCTTTTGATGCACTTATCTTGCTGTGATTTGACGATATTTCGTCAATTCCATTTGACAGGAGAGTTAAAGAATCTTAGGAACGTTGTTGCTGAGGCAAAGGCCAAAGATGTTAAGGTAGTCCCTGCTGTAGTCAAGCGTATGTTAGATAGGAACATGTTTCTTTTTGGGTTTGTGGATGTGAATGAAAGCTCTGCTGCGGAGAGATTAGATGAACTGTCAGAAGTACAAAATGCAAGTATCCAAATAGCATGCAAAAAGTACTTTTCCTGCTACAGCTTGTTATTTCACAGTCTACTCTAAACCTTCCCTCATCTTGTTTCCTTGGTTATTTGCAAATAGCCGGATCGAGCATTTCACCCACATGGATATGGTATGTTTGATTTCTAGAATATACTTCCAGCTCTGTACTTTTGCATACAGTGTTCATATGGATTGATGTGGCTAGTTACAAGGATTCGTTGAACTCAAGCACCATTTTGATGGAAATATTTAGTAGATCTGTACTTCTATTGATTGCAAGAAAATAATCAGGTGACAACTTCGTCAAAAATAAAAAATACAAGTAATATTTAGTTATTTTAGAGCAATCGACTTTCTATAACTTGTGACTTTAATTTGGTTGGAATTGCTCCCTTCCAAAATGTGAACCAATTGTGTTTGCTGGAATAGGATATTGTTTCTGCTGTCGTGACGGTGTTTCTGTGTTTTTTTGTAAATGTAATTGTTCAAGTATCTTCAGAATCACATGCAAGTGTTATTTATGTTTCCTCCCTTTACTAGTTTCCAGTTTATGATCAGATAAACTCAAATGGAGGGTTTTAAGCTTTAAATGACGCAAAATCAAATATATTGTTAGATGATTATTTGGACATGTGGGCATTCTTTCCGTTAATTGGATTATTTGAATGTTGGAGTTGATCAGCATAGCAAGTTAGCTAGGTGGGAGGCTGCATTAGTCCTTTCATCAGGTTTCTTGTGACTTAACCTGCAATTGCATGTCTCCATCTTTGACTTGAGACTGCTAAATTCATATTCCCATTTTTCCTAGGGATTGGAGCTTGAGGTGGATTTGCTCAAGCAAAAGTCAGCAGATTATGCAAGGGCGAAAGATCTTGCTATTAAAGGTATTTCTATGAGCTTAAAGCTTTAAACAGAACATATATTTTGGTGATTTTCTATGTATTGTCAGCACTATTATGTGTAAGTACGGTATATTTAGTATTAAAGGTAACTCAATGAGCTTCTTAAGCTTTTATCGGAAATATATTTTTGCCATTTTATATATGTGGTCTGCACTATTTTGTGTCAAGGCATATTTAGTATTAAAGGTACAACGGAAATATATCTTGGTCAGTTGGTCATTTTCTATTTGTGGTCAGCACTATTGATGTGCTAATTAAGGATATTTAATATTCAATAACAGTGAAAATTATGCATTGCGTACATACTGAAGTAGCTGTGAATACGTTTATGCGGTGAAGCTACCCTGAATTCGTTCACAGAAGTATTGTTCAGATAGTGGTATAGGCAGTCTAAAACTGTCCTCCCAAGTTTGAGTTTAGTTTCAAGATTCAGGGGATTGGGCATGCATAAATTCCACAGGTTTCTTTTGCATCCAAGGTTTTGACTCCCCCTTCAATAAAGTCGAGAAGGACATCTTTTCACTTGTTTTTTTCTTAAAGAGGCTAGTGACATTGTGGATGTAGAAAGTATAAAGCACATAGCAGAAAACCAGACATTGATAGGAGACGTGGTCGGGAAGACTGCTGATGACTGGAAAGCTCAGAAGGAATTATTTTATCAAAAAACAGGCATTCTTCATCAGCCTGTGAAAGACTCAGTTGATGTTGTTGGAGAAGAGCATGATAAGTCCCAACAAGAAGGGGCAGAAGAGCATGATAAGTCCCAACAAGAAGTGGCTGAAGAGCAGGATGACAATGAAGACTTCAGTAAGGAACTTGAAGAAGTATTATTGTCTGCACAGAACGAATCTGACTTCGAAGAATAGGGACTCCTTTTTAGGCCACAAGACCATCAGTGGAATTATTAAACTGTCAAGATTAACTGAAAAAAGGGTAGGCCAAAAACTCCATCAAACGTCCATAGACCCCTCAATTGACACCAATGAGTTTTTGCAAAAGGGATATGGCTTCTGTTAGCGAGAGAAATTTTCAGTTGGGAGCCATTCTTTTGAAGCTAAACTATTTTGTAGTTGTAAAAATGGCAAAGTCTTGAAAGATTTAGCTGTAAGTCATAAGTATGATTGTAAGTGCTTTTTGGGTGAATGAAAGAATACACTGTCTTCACTGTCTTCTTATAATAGAAAATGCTTTGGAATTTATTTATGAGATGCCTATTGAACCAGGTCCAGCTGAGTGAGGTGCATTACTAGGTGCATGCATGGTCCACAAAAATATTGACTTGGCTCACTTGGCTTCGGATAAGTTATTTGCGATGGACAGAGGAAGTGTCAGATATTATGTTTTACTTTCAAACATCTATTCAGCTGACTGCAATTATTTTCAAGCTGCTTCAGTTAGAAAAGTTCTTTAGAACAAGAATCTAGCAAAGACCCCCAGGTGCACTTTAATTGAGGTCAATGGCTACCAACATTTGGTGCACGGGAAGTTGCTGAGGTGTTTATCTGCTTGAATGCATAGAATATGTTGCGAAAAGGTTTGTATAAATTTGTCTGAGATCTTCTTTTTTCTCAATTGTTGACATGCATCTTCAGTTTTCCAGAAACGCTCCACCCTTTACTGCAAAATCTCCCCATAGAGTAGTTGTTGTATGCTTCATGCTAGATTATCAATTAGACGAGTATTGTGAATGCATTGGAAGATTTATATGGATGGTAGAGAAGAAATAATGGCAAATTACAGTTCATTTGTAACAACAATTTCGCGTCTTTTGCTATTGCCTTTTACAATGATAGGATTCACTATAACTAACACGCAAAACAAGTCTGAATAAAGGTGAGGTAAATTAGTGATAGGTATTATGTAACAGAAAGTGAATTTTCAATAAGTCATGTGAAGAGTTACCGAATATGTCACCATTTGGCAATTTTTCCACGTGTTCCAAAGATACAAAGCTTTCGGAGAAGTTGTGTGTTGAAACAACACGGCCACTCTCCTTTATGATTGTGTTGTCTGTAATGGATAGTTTAATCACTTTGTGCACGGAAGTGTAGTTAGGGTTGACCCGATCCAACAGCCCATTAGCAATCTGGAACTCTTATTTGTCTTTAAGAAGTCCTTCTATGTGTCGATATGCTTATTAAATAGTGGCTTGCAACTTTTTCCCCTAGAATTTAAAAACAAAAACTCTTTATGTGGTTTGACATAATTTCGCTCTAAGCTTTCCTTGAACGGCTAAGCAAGGAGAATCAATTCAATGTACTGATGTCATTCGACCTGCATCTTTTAATGATGCAGATAGAGGTTCTTAGGATCCTCAACAAGACTCCGTTGAGATCATTTCATTTGCTCGTCAGCTTTTGAGTAAGACCTCTTTGCTTTCGGAGGACTCCAGTTTTGTGAGTTATTCGTAATAGTTTGAGGAGTCGCGGGTCTTGTCCCGACACTCATCTTTATACAGTAGAGCTTCATAGATAGACAGTTTGGAGAGTCTTTCAGTTTCAGATGCTTACTTAAAACTTATGTTTCATACTCAGTATATTCAGTTTAGTTTTGAGATTCAGTAAACTATTTTAAACGTTTTGTTCAACTTGATGCGTATGTATGCTTGGGTTAGTCTTCCGCTTGTAGTCAGCCAGGATAAGGGTTCGCTTGGGGATCAACAATGGTTCTCAAGTGCCAGCCACGTCCAGGGTGTAGGCTCGGATCGTGACAAACTTGGTATCAGAGCATAGATTTCAAGTGTTCTTGGGTGTGTATGAAGCCGTGTCAGTTAGGATCTTATTTATGGTTGTGAGGGCCGGCCCCACTTCTATAAATGAGGGACAATAGACATTTAAGAAAAGTTTCTCTTATTTCATACTCTAAATCGTGCAATAGAATTGTGTCATAAGGAACTTATTCTAACTCGTGCATTTCTAATAATCCATTTGACTGCCCCTCATACTCAAGGTAGTTGAAAACCACAGTCAAATCCTTATCAATGAGTTACTCTCAACAAAAATCTTGAGAAAGTCATGAGACTACAGAGAGGCGTGAGAGAAGCTTGTGAGTGAGTTAAGTGTTGAGTTTCGAAAGAATGCACTCTTATTCATATGAATCATGCGTTCAAGCTAAAAGCGAGATGTACTCTTTTCTCTAAATCTTGTTTCAGTTGAGGCCCTTATGATGAAGTTTGTTTTAGAGCTTGGGTAGTATTCTCACCCGGAAAGATAGTATGAGTTATGATGTTATAAACAATAGTAGTAATAGTGCCCAAAGTTAGAAGAATCCATGCAGAGGTTCAGTAATCTAAGAAAGGGAAATAGTAAGGAGGCAAATTATCTTATTGTAGTCATGCACCCAGTAAGTATTAATGAGGAGTTTTTCCTTATGAGTAGACTAAGGAATAATAATCTTGTGAAGAGTTCATGATATGAGGTAGAAGAATAGTTACTAGTTAGGATGAGTTAGAGTATACTTTAACCAGAAGGGAATTTAAGTCGGTGTACCATCGTGTTAGTGATGACTAAGTATAGGTGTTGAATAGAACATAAGAGTATTCATGAGGTGATATATCTAAGCTAGGCTTATATTTTGAGGGAGAGCCCATAATATTCAGAGGGTTACAGATCTAACTAGGCAATAATGTATAGCGAAGGGGTAAGTAGCACCTGAGTTATGAAAATGGAATGTGACTATAAAATGTAAATATTAAGAGTAAGAGATAAAGTTTGACTACTTGTCATGAGGTCTTAGTGGGTGAGTGTTTCTTAATTTTTTCTAGTAGTTGTAAGTTGGTATAGTAAGCGAGCAAACATATTGATATCAATGTTTAGTAATAGACACTAAGCTTGAATTTGAGATGAGTGTCCTGATAAAGAGAATGGTCACATGAGGGTGATGATGTTAGTTTTGAGATCTGATCTGGTAGACTTGACACAGAGTAGGTGAGTAGTTAAGAGGTTAGTTACAATGAATATGAGTGGTACAAGTGTGAGATTCTAACTTTTCGATAAGAGAAATGAGGTATGACAAAGTCACTAGATTAACAAAAGTATTACGAGGTGTACCTGAGATCGTACGAAGTGAGATGAGATTCTAATAAGTTATTGTTTCCATGTATTGCCTAGGTAGCATAATTGAGTGTCAATGTGGAGTACGCTGATGTAAACATGATTTATTACCCTTAAAATTGTGGCCAGAGAGATCATATATAGTAAATGATGAGCCTTTTTAATATAGTTCAAGTTTCTTCCAGTTAACTAGCTATGAACTTAAAATGACAATATTGGTGGGCTAAAGAAGGAAAAGTCAGATTATTAACAGCCAGATTAAGTGGCCCTATAAGCCAATGAGAAGAGGTTAAGAGAAGCATCTTAGAAAGAGGTCTTATAAGGATTCTTATTACCTCTTTATGGAGAGTTCAATAAGAATGAGATAATTAGCCTTTCCCCAGTATTGGAGTAAAGGGAATGTAGACCAGTTTAGAGATAATGGAATAGATCCATAGCTTTCAAGTGTGAACTTTAGACCTAAGGGGGAGATGATAAGATGAGAAACCAAGTCAAGTGTTGAGGATGAGATAGTGATGTCTTCAGAAAGAGTTTTAGAGATATATCAATCCATTCATAATCGTGTGTGTTCCTCATGTTCAGTTATCACAACATCTTTTTGATATTCCTAATATCATAATTGTATCTATGACCTATGCTCATACCCTTTAGAGAGATTCGCATCTATGCTCAGTTTCCAGAATGAGGGGCAAGAACTTAAGCCCATTGATCTCAATCTTATCCATAAAGTTATGGATATCAGCCTCATGATATGAACATATTCATATAAGCACTCATATCTCATAGTACGCTCAGTCTCGCAAATTCATGATTTGATCTCAATGGCTAGCAATATATTGTTATGTCATGCATATTCTTATATAAGAACTCTTGAATGAATCTTGCTTATGATCTTTTGCCCTAAAGCTCTCTCAGTGATCCTTTTCAGTTTTGATAGTGATGTTGTTGATAGTAGTTGAGTAATGATAAAAGGAGAGGGTTGATGTTTCTTATTGTGGTAATGGTGGTTTTTTTATTATTCCATCTTAAGTTATAATGTGGAGGAAAAAGGGAATGAGGTTTTACCATTAGTAATAGTTAAATGAGAGCAATTAGTTAGTTTCTGGTAGTAATGCGTGAAATTTCAGTTGGTAGAGATGATGTGAGAATGAGAAATTCTTAGAAGGATTGGTTACTAGGAGTCCATGGAGTGGTTATAGTATTAGGCTTGAATGTGGTGTTGTTAACATGTGGATAAACACATGATGCATTAGGTGTTTCTTGATATGCACGGGTGTTTCTTGATATGCGCTCAAGGTTGGTTGAAGACAACTATAAGGAGAAGTACTCTTGGGATGAGATTCCCTATAAAGGTATAGAATTTGAATCTTGTGGTTTAGATAAGTATAACCATATTATGTTTAGCACTTTGTGGATTAGAGATTAGGCTTGAACATAGTAAGAGCAGGCGATTTGACTTAGCCGTTTGGGAGAATTATGTCACTTAGCCGTTCAAGGAAAGCTTAGAGTGAAAGATCACAAGCACGATTTATTCAAAAAATCTGATATAAGAATATGCATGACATAACATTATTTTGCTAGACATTGAGGGTAAATCATGAATTCGTGAGAGTGCTATAGATATGATGTTTATATGAATAGATTCATATCATAAGGCTAATATTCACAACTTTATGGAGTAAGATTGAGATTAATTGGTTAAAGTCTTTGCCCTTCGTTCTAGAAACTGAGCATAGATATGAATCTACTTGAAGTATAGGAGCATAGGTCATGGACACAATTATGATATTAGAAACCTCAATAGGATATTGTAACGACTAAACTTTAAGGAATACGTTAGAGTATAAATGGATTGATATAACACTGTAACTCTTTCTGAATACACACTTGACTTAGTTTCTCA